TATGTTTCCACCGTGCAATTCTCACAAATTACAGTGCAGTCCAAGCCCGTTTTTCGGCACCCACATGCTCTTCGTAGAAAAGACCGTTGGGCTGTCGCGTCACCCGCCGAGCGTCGGCATTTCTACATTGAACGTTCTATAGCTTAAAAAGTATGAACATTAGAAAAAAGTTTCAAACAAAAGTTGTAGAGAATAAATGGATCTTTAAAAATGGATAGATGCATTTTATTAATTAAACCAATATTTAAGAGTAACCGGTCGAGATAGAAGAACCGGTTCATTAAATGTGTAAGTTTTGCAAAAAAAATTTAGGACACAAAAGATGCGAAATTTTATTCTCTATAAAAATAGTTTCAATAACTTTTGCACTATAGTGCAGTTTTCGAGATATCGGCAAAAAAAGTTTTTTCGACATGGCGCCTGAAGCTCCACCAGAACCTGTCAGCATTTTGGTATTTTATACTCAGTAAGTGATCGTAAACCTTAAAAAAATAAAAAATTGCATCGGAAATTTAGTGTCAAGCTGACCAAAAAACGTCTATTTTTACCGTAGTACACTTAATAAACTTTTTTTAAGTTTAAGTATTTATTATTAGTATAATATTTGTGATAAACTACGAGCCTTATTATCAAAGTTTAGTCGATTAAGGAATAAAAAAAAATCCAATATTGCTCATGATGTAAAAACTTTGGGTGAATCAATAATTTCATATGAACTAAGCAGTTACGGTCTTACTCGTCCATACAAAACTCACATTGATGAAATATACAATTTACAGTTAAGACTCATAAAAACAATTGGACCTAAAAAAATTAAACATTCATACAAAGATGACGATTATGGGCTATTTAGTTACAAGCGATTAACCCTCGCTTCGCTCAGGTCCAACCTTAAGTACGTTTAAACGGTTTTACTAATATGGAACAAAAACAAATCTATCCCACGAGAACAGTACATTTTTCCGAGTTAAAAAGTAACCTGTGTGCTTTTGATTGAGTAACAAACATCCATCCATGCAAACTTTGGCATTTATAATATTAGGTAATAGAATTGCATAGTAATGCCAGTACACAACAGAATTCTCTACTTATTACTGAAAGAACAATATCTATACTTATTATAAAAATAAGTCCCCCGGCCGCGTCTTTCTGTCCTCCTGTCTGTCCTCCTGTCTGTCTGTACGCGATAAACTCGAAAACTACTGAACGGAATATTTTATATTATCGTTACTTATTTATTGTACTTCTGTACACTAAATAAATAACAATAAAGAACACTTTCTAAGAAGCCATATAAACATAAAAGTAGAAATGCCCAAATATAAAAATAATTATGGAAAAATGGTATTAGAATATTTAATTTCTTTTTTAATTAATAGCCTACCTAAAACTTTAAAAGATAAAATTAACAAAAGTATTATTAAATAATATAGGTACCTATATTAAAAAACTTATCTAGAGCGGTCTGTATAGACAGTTGTATTACGAATCGGTTATACCCGTACGCTAGTACTATGGTAATGACCATATATAACATTACAGTGCTAGTGCAGTGCATAATAAACGCAAATTGGTGATATTCTTATCTGATTTTAATAGATGTATAATTGCATATGTATGTATAATTAACTACCGCGTATGAATCCGCTGTGCACAGGAAAATCATACATTCATGGTTGTTGTTGCGCTGTTTGTATCTTGATTAGTGTGTATGTATGTATGTATTCAGCCCTTTTTAACGTCCCACTGCTGGGCACGGGCTTCCCTTCAATACGAGGGGGATCTGGAGTGTGTAAACAAATGTAATATACTCGTAAATTCAAATAAAATAAAAAAAATACAAAAGATATTAAATAGTGTAAGATATAGTAGCTCTGTTGCCTATTTTTTTTCTTTATCATATTCAGTGACAAACGAGTAGACAGCCCACCTGATGGAAAGTGGTACCTGTCGCCCATAACACCTACAGTTCATGCACCTAGGTTTTATGTTACTTACAAAAATGCAGAACCGCAGGTGCGTTGTCACTGTGGGGACTAAGATGATATGCCTCTTGCCTGTAATTGCGATGGCTACCTTATCCTTGAAACCGAAACACAACAATGTTGCGGGAGAAATAGATACGGGGTATCTACATATTATATACGAGTAAGAGTGCATGTATACTGCAGTAACTTGAATATCGAAATATTGTTATAATATATTGGTATATTATAACAATATTTCGATATTCAAGTTACTGCATCAAAGCTGACGAAAGGCATGTTACAAAATTAAATTATTATTTATAACCATATTTATGGTATGCAATAAAAAAACGTTTGATTCTATTTCATAAATTAATAAGTTAATTTAAATGCCAAAAAGAATTAAGCTCGGGGAACAGGACATGAATTACATCAATTTACAAGGACATCTTGTTTTGTGAATCATATAAATATGCATATAAGAGGTAAAAAATAATTTCGTTAATAAAATTTGTCGGGGGTATAAAAACTTTAGCAAAGCTATCGGTGGAATCTAAAATAGATATTATGATAAACTAGCGACTCACCTTCGCTTCGTTCGGGTGTTCATTTTGTTCATAATTTCATGGCTTTTTTTAATTTTTTCGCGGAACCCTAAAAAAATAGCCTAAATTACTCCTTATAACATCAGCTATCTGCCAGTGAGAGTCCCGTCAAAATTGGTCCAGCTATTTCAGAGATTAGCAGGAACAAACAGGGAGACATAAACACACAAAAAAATTAAAAAATGTTTTTTCTTGTATGTACGGTATATATTTTCATATCTATTTAGTAAAAAGCTGTTATTTTGACATTACAAACAAACACTTCAATTTTATTTATTTGTAATAGATTGTAAAAATATTGCGGAAGAGAATCAAATTATAGTGTTTTTTAATTATATGATATTACTACTCGTATCATTGGCCACGGTATCGCGCTCTAGTTGATTTATCTGTTAGCAAAATATCTAACCTCTGCGTCTCTAAAGTAGGTCGTACGTATCTTTGATGTTAGCAAAAATATAGTACTTTCATATGAACTTGCGAAAGCCTTTATACCCCCTTTAAGTGGATCCTCTCGCATATCTCCATAGCTGATATCTTCTACCTATAAAATAGCTAAACTGCTAAATATCAGATTCATAAAATAAGTGCTTTTCTAGGTTTTATAATTAATCACTGAATAAGTGAGTGATATTTCACTTCTATACAGGTATACTCGTAGAGTTTAGACTAACTTTGCCCCCGGTTCTGACTGTGCAGGTTATTTATTAGTCTGGTAGCGAGATTTGAGATGATCGTATAAACTTCGCTTGGATTTAACCTTAAATTGACACGGATTGGCACTTCTAGAGGTTTAGGCGTATACTGGGCAAAATGTCTGCTATTTTAAGGCCATAAAATGATTAAGGATTTATTTAGATACGTCTATCTTATTTTCAAATTACTAACAAATTACTCGTAATTTTTTACCAAAATGGTATGTAATTCAGCTTTTTCAAAGGTTAGCCTGGACACTCAAACATATGGACAGACAGATTATTAACGTACTATCGCGCAAGAGAAAACTAAGTAATAGCTTTAAAATCTTATAAACCATTAGGAATTGCTAAGCAAACAGTAGGTCGCGAGTTCGATTTTTGCATGAAACGATCACAGATATGTATTTGTCGTAGATATGCCTACTTTAGATAAGAGAGACGTCCCAAACACGCAACGTCTCAAATATCTCAGTACAGAGTCTACAGTCCCGTGAGAGTGAGAGGATCCTAAGTAAACACAAAGTAATTGGTGTACGCGTTTTGTGATTTTTTGTTGAAATATCCTAGGTATAGAAAACTATATGCGTGTAAGATACATGCTAATATTTGTTGTACTTGAGAAGTTATGAGTGTTCTGTCTTATCTGTACCTTTCTCAGAATAAAAATTCTATACGCTTTTCTACGAACATTGTATTTCATACAAGTTTATTTGTTTCAAAGTTGTCAATATAATTACAATAAACATTTTTCATGACAAAAACTTTTGTTACGAATTCGATATTTAAAATTCATAATATCCTGCCATGTAAATAGACCTTCATGTGAAGCGGACAACGAAAAAAACAAGCTTCTCGTGGATTATGGGATTCTAAAGAATTGGCCTGATTATAGGAAGGGTTTCTTTGTTTGTTTTTTCATATTGAAGTATTTTAAAAGAAAATACGTAACTGTTTTGTATAGAAAATTTACTGTTCTTTTTGATTCTTAAATCAGATTCCAAAGAGATTACTGGCATTACTTTTCACATTAATGTGAAATATAATTCTTTTAATGAAATCAAAACTTATTTAGCCGCGTTGAGCGATTTTTGGTAGGAGCAAAACTTCTGGGTTCGCGTCACCGACATGCTACGTGTGACATGTGACGTGTTGGCGCAGTCTGCCGCAGACTGGGACGCGCGGCGTTATATGTTTTAATGAATAAATAAACTATATCAAAATCTAAATAATTACCTACTGATCGGAGTGCGGATGGATGTGAAAACCAGACTAATAATAATTTCAATGTACAAATTATGAAATTATAAGTATTCATACTATAATTAGTTTAAAAATTAAAAAAATACTGTTATTCCAAGTTATAAGTTTTTACTTCTGTCGGCAGTCCCCATGACTGCCTATGTTAAGTTTTGGTCTATCATTGAATACTTAATAACATTTTTTTTTTATTAGCCACAAGACAACTTTGGGGCCGTTCATAAAATACGTCACACTAAAATCAGCTTTTTCTGACCCCCTCCCCCCCTATTGTCACGCTGTGTCACACTTTCTGTGACTTCCCTAGAAATATTTCGTCACAAAAACTAAGACCCTCCCTGCTGAGTATGATAAATTCTAAATGATAGTACACAAATTCTGAAAAATAAAAATATTTATTTAGTTATTATAATAACATTTAAATAAATTAATAAATATCTTTCATAACGAACATATAAATAATATTTCTATTATTCAGAAGTCCAAGGATTTTCTAAATGGGCCGAAATATCTACAATCGGTATTGCACCATCTTCTTCTTCAAAACTACCGTTTACTTCATCGTCATCTAACCATTCTGCATTTTCCGTACCATCGTTTTCATCTTCTATTATGCATAACAGCTCTCGAGCTCGCCGAGCTGCGATACGAGTTGGTTGTACGCGCCGAACTACTTCACCCTTTCTATTTTGTTTTGGATGTAAATGTTTTAAATGCTGTAGTAAGGTTTTGTTAGATGTGTGATATAGGCCACATTCTTTACATGTTCTACTCGCCAATTTATCGTGGACTGACGGACAAAACCAATCGAAAGGAATTTGTTTAAAATCCGGAGCTTCAGGCTGAAGTTTCACAGCAAGACGAGCAAATAGGTTAAGATATGTGCCATCATCAGAATTCACTTGCGATACCTTTAATCCGTTTTGAGTTTGTTGTAATTTAATTTGTGGAGGCAAAAATCCGTTTGGAAGTAAATTTCTCAAACTACTTCTATATTGGCCACAGCAGTCTTCGTCTGAGCATTTCAAAATTTGCAATAAATATTGTGATTCACGAACATGTTTACAGTACCAATCATCGATTAATGTTTCTACATTTTCACTAACCTCTTCTTCTGGTACAATATACTCTGCATGTACATCATAACTATCGACTTTTAACGACTTCCAAACACTAGCCAAAGTTGTCCCTGCATATTTAAAGTTTTTTTTCCAAATTTTTGTGTACGGTTTTACCGTAAGAATCTAAATGCGATCCATAATGCTCATGAGGCAAAATTAAGCCTGCAAGCTCATGACTTAGCGGAGCCATTCTTCTTTCCACACGATTGTAAGCACTCCTACCCGGTGCATTGATAACAACAAATAAAGCATCTAAATTAAATTCTCGAAAATGCTGGATAGCATAAAATATTACTTTTGCGTAGCGAGGATTTTCGTCAGGACCCCATCAGCAGAAACGATTACTACAGGTTTTGGAGATCCAGTGTTGGTGTAGGCGAAACTTCGAAATGATTCCAGTTCAAAAAAATTTTTTAAATCATTGGCATGTGTCTTGGTAGTCGAACTAGAACGCTTGCCACTCCGAATAGCTATAAATGTTGGTCCTGAATAGGTTACTTTTGAAGGATTTCCAAAATTTTATAAGTGTTAAATAATTTTTGATAGAGTTCATTTCTTATCGATGTCATTGTTTTCTTATATGTATCTCAACTATTAAAATCAGAAGTGACAAATTTTGGCAATAAAGAGTATAAAGTAATTAACTGAAGAGTATTAAATTGAGAAGATGATAAAAGCATCTGTATTAGTTCACTGCTAAATGGCGAATGAAGGAATAAAATAATAATAAATACATGAGAAACAGTATTTTCATTTGATACTGAATCGAGAGCGCAGGGTACGTGGAAACGTTACTCTCTCAAGTATTGCAAAAACAAAGAAACCAGTTGTGACGGATCGCAACGCCGCTAGAGTCGCGCCACAGAGCTAACTCTCATGTCAAAAAATAATAAGCGGCGAACGTCACGTTGCCGTATACCCCCCGTCCCCCCTTGTCACATCTTGTCACACTCAGCCAGACCCCTCCCCTCCCCTTATATGCGAACGTATTTTATGAACGGCCCCTTTTATAAATGATTATGATACGCTATACTTCAAAAAACTATGCCAGACACTAATGATGTCAATAATTTTGTTAATTGGTAAATAATACGAAAATGATAAACAGTTATTTACACGTCATAGTTTTTTTTCTTTGTATAAAGGTAAATCTCTGAAATTACTGAACTGTTTCTCAAACTTCTTGCAATTTTACAACGTTAAATAATTATTCCTAAAATTATCTATTTTTATTGATATACCATGCGAGTAAAACCGCATCAGCATATTAGTATATAAATTATAGGATAAATAAAAAAATAACTTATAATAAATTCTATATTACCATATTTACATATAAAAATAAATTATATTTTCATTTAAATAGCCGAGATCAAAACGTCCCGTAAAATAAACATATGTATCACTTATATCATAATAATTTTTTTGGCAACTGTCTGTTCACTTTGAATCCTGGCAATAACACAATACAACGTACATTATGTACAAAAAGTTCCATTTTATTATATATAAGTTAATATTATAATAACATATGCCTACGATATACCTATGTATGTTTGTTCACTCAGTAAAAAACTTGACTTTTAACTTAAAATATTCAAATCACTTTATTTCTTCGTCACAAATTCCTACAATTAATATATGTGTACATATATACTTACAATAATACATTATGATTATTTCTATTACAATCATGAAATATAAACTTAGTGTTTACATATTTTACTAAGGACCTGCCTGAGTCGGCTTACTTGGCTGGTATTTTTAAGTTTAAGGTTACATTTTGAAAATAAAGACATACAATTTTACAAAAGTAAGTAAGTTTACTTTTATTCACGTTATATTTTTTTATTTTAATCATTAATAAATAAACTGTCAAAATGTCAACCCTTTAGAACAGGGGCACACGCAATGACATTCTACAATCGTTTAGAAAATAAAATGTAAAAAATATATAGTACGTTACATGACGTCTTAACGTTTAGTATAGATTTCTCAGAGATGAGATATTTTCCCGCAGTAAAAAGTATCTTATATGTAGCTATCATTATACCAAATTTTATCAAAATCTGTCCAGTGGTTTTCTCGTGATGCGGTCACATACAGACAAACCGACAAAATTTCTAAAAACTATAGATTCGTCCTCTGTATCGATAATAATGACCATTTCAATAAGATTTCCCAAACAATAGTTAATGTACAGATTGATTATCAGAAATCTATTTATCATAATGTCATTCCCATATAATACTTTCTTAGATTTACGCGAATATTTGACATTATTAAATAAAACTATCTTTTCGGATTATTTCGCGGATTTATTTTGATTATTTACAGATGTTAATTGTGGGTAGGCTGTCTGTAACAACTATACATTCAAGACATGTAACACCTCAGTCTCTCCCGTGACCATGGATGCTGTAAAGCATTCGAAACGTCGGGAACCAAAAATCAAAATAAATCCGCGAAATAATCCGAAAAGATAGTTTTATTTAATCATTACCTTATATTTTTAGGGTTCCGTACCCAAGAAGCTAAAACAGAACCTTTATAATTTCCACATATCCATCTGTCCGTATGTCACAGACTATTGATGGAATATTGGAGTAACATTATTGATATTTAGAAGGTAGTTATCTCATGTGGACCACTAGACAATTCTGCAGTTAAATTACAAAAAAAATGGGTTCATACTTGTATGATGTATATAACTGTGAGGGAAAAATTTATTTTATTTTTCTATTTTTGAACGATTAATTATTATTATAGAATTACTGTCTAATCCCCATGAATTGACATAAAATAGCACTTCAATTAACAGTGTAACAAATTAACATATACTTTCTTAGATTTATACGAATATTTGACATTTTAAATAAAACTATCTTTTCGGATTTACCAAGATTCTAAGCGTCGGAAACCAAAAATCAAAATAATATCGCGAAAAAATCTTAAAAGGTAGTTTTATTTAAAATTAAATTAATAGTTTAAACATACTCGTAATTGAATGAATTTAAACTAAAGATGGCGTTTGTTATAATAATAATACAAAATCTAAAATTCCACAAGAGACGTTACCTTTATTATTTCGACTTTCAACCTGCTTTACAGATGCCTGTTTTAATTTAGTTTGCAACGACGTGCAGAGAAAATAGAACATGCATTGAATTTGTGGAAGCCAAATCTTTTTACAAAAAACGTTGGATTTATTTCAACGAAATTTAATTTAATTCTACAGATAGTAAAGTAATTTTTATTATATAAAAATTACCTATACCTTTAACTTCTAAAATATACAATATAAATATTAAATACATACATTTATTACGAGCTTTGCTTGCTGCTTTATTTACATTAACTTCTTTAATCAAATTTATCAAATATTATTTGCCACGTGCTAATTATATACATATTAGGTTCATTCGTTTGCTTTGGCTATCAATCTTTTTTTTTAAACTTCTTTTTAGCGTTTTTATGCCCACTAGAGGGCGCCATATTGAACTACTCACACTAGCCACGTCACATAGCCTATAACCAGTGACCATTGGTGACGCTTCTAACCACGCCTCATTTATCAAATTATGATTGGTAGTTTAGATGATATACGGGCACAAATGAACATACAAACACTGACATTTAAAACCCTCCATAGGCCTCGCCTAAGTCGGGTAAAAACCTTCCTTTTTATTGCACGCCGTAATTCGTTAAAAACCATGGTACCAAGCTTAAATAAGTAGGTACACAACACATCCACAAATTCTAGTAGTAAAAAACAAAATGGCGTCGCTGTCAACTGTCTACATCCACACATCTGGTACCAGCCCTGCATAAGCACGGAACACATCCATAAGTAGTAGCAACAAACAAAGTGGGCATCACTATTAACTGCCCACATCCACACAGTCAGTACCAGGCCTGCATAAACACGTAACACATCCGTAACTAGCGCTAACAAACAAAATGACGTCACTGTCAAAAACAAAATGGCGTCACCGTCACCCGCCCGCGTCCACGCAGTCGGTACCAGGCCTGCAGGTGCACGCGACGCGGCCGGCGCCGTCCCGCGCGAGCCAGGCGCCGGCGGCGCACGGCCCGCGCGTGTGCAGCAGGTGGCACGTCTTGTTGTACTCCACTGCGCCTGCGCGGGACGAACACCCGGACACCTGGGGTGGAGTGTGTTATTGATATATAAGTACACGTAGGTTTATGTCGAATCGATGAGATGGTTCTTATATATTATAATGGTTCACATATAGTTATATGGATAGTGTTTTGTATACATGTACATATGTACATACTTATTAATAAAAATTAAAAAAAAACGACTTCAAAAAACATTAAAAAGATAACTGATTGGTAGTTTTCATGTACACAGATAAATAAAATTGAAGTGTCTGTTTGTAATGTCCAAATAACAGCGCTTTACTAAATGATACTTATAAGAAAGACACATTTTTTTAAATTTTTAACTTTGTCTCTGTTTGTTTGTTCCGGATAATCTCTGAAACGGACTGATTTTGACGGGACTTTCACTGGGAAATAATTGATGTTATAGGGTGTAACATAATCTACTTTTATTTTAGAAAAATAATTAGGATTCCGCTTAAAAAAACGTACCTAGGGACGAACCCGAGCGAAGTGAGGGTGAGTCGCTAGTTTACTATAGATACCTAATCGGATATTTTCGAAGTCGGTGTGCTTTGATTTGCATCGGCTGGCAATTCATAATAGAAAATACCTGTTTTGAATTGACCCAGAATAGTTTCAGCCCAAATTTTTGATTTATTGCCTTATAAACTAACCTCAAAGACTGAGTTCACACTGCATTTTACTGCTCGTTTTTTGCAGTAAACGTTTTGCCTTATATTAAATGAACAATTCTTGTTTCATTTCGTGTATCTCGATGATCGTGATTTGGTTTTTTTTTTATGACAATTCTATTGCTGACAATGAAAAAAACATATCGCCAATCAATAGTAACCTACTGAACGAGTGTTTCGTCCAGGTACTCGTGTATTTGTATGAACAAATGATTAACCATAAGCCCTGATGGACCATATATGTAAGTAATATGTATATATGGGATCCGCCGCCTTGAGGGAAGCCAGTTAGTTACCAAGCTGGTCTTAGTTGCGCACCCGTTCAGATGAAACATTATGATGTAAATATAATTTTAATTCACACGAGTTATAGATTTATGTATATACTAGCATTGCCCGCGGCTCCGCCCGCGTTCAGATGACCAAAAACCAAATTCTTAGGTTTTACATATTAGTATACTCTGACAATGCAGTTTTTGTATTTTTTCTCAGAAATAAGATATTATCCCGCGATAAAAAGTATCCTATATATTGACCCGGATAACCATCTATCACCGTACCAAATTTCATCAAAATCTGTCCTGGTTTTCTCGTGATGCGGTAACAGACAGACAGACAGACAGACAGACAGACAAAAATTCTAAAATTATAGATTCGGCCTCTGTATCGATAATAATGTCTATTTCAATAAGATTTTCCGAAAAATATTTAATGTACAGATTCGACTTAGTTACAATTTTATTATATGTATAGATGTATATGAACAAATAATTTACTATAAGCCCACGTACCTGGTGTTGCCTGGCGCGCAGGCAGGGTGCGCCGGAGCACACGCACACGCCGTTGTGGCTGAGGCCGTCGACAGCGGGGCGCGCGGCGAAGTCGAAGCTGAGGTGCTCGCCCGCGCCGCACGGCTCGCCCGCGCCCGGCCGGTAGCAGCGCCGCCGCGCGCGCACGTACAGCCGCCCGCGAGCGCACGGCACCTGCGCGTGTTATGTGTTAGGGAAAATTGAAATTATTGCTTTTTTTTATAAAATTTGTTGTTTCTATTGATATTAAATTAACATTTTACTTTAATAAAGCCACAAAAAAATTATTTGTATACAGATAAATAAAAATGAAGTGTTTGTTTGTAACGTCGAAATAACAGATTTTAATTTTTTAATAAATGCATATGAAATTATATACGATACTTGTAATAAAAACAAAATTCTTAACATTTTTTTCCGTCTGTCTGTATGATCCGACTAATCTCCAAATGATTTTGGCGGGACTTCCACTGGCAGATAGCCGATCTTATAAAGAGTAACTTAAGCTATATCTATTTTAAAAAACGACTTCAGGTTCTTCCAAAAAAAAATTAATAGGAGGCACCCGACCGAAGCGAAGACAAGTCGCTAATTATCTATATATGTATATGTACTATACATTTTAGAAATAAGGCTTTATTCTTAAAATAGAATTAAAAAGTCTACAAAGTATATCGAGAATCGGTTGTTTAAGCAAATAAGTATTAGAGGATATTACAACGACCAACCTTAGTACAGTTGCCGCCCCGCGCGATCATCTCGTCCTGCGCGCAGGGCCCGCGCGTGTACAGCCGGTAGCAGGCGCCGTCGGCGGCGCGCGCGTGGAACCCCTTGCAGCTGCACTGCGCACGCGCCGCGCCCGCGCCCGCCAGCGAGAACGTGTGGCCTTTGGGGCACGGGCCTAATGAATCTGGAAGTTTTCATGTGAATAGATGTTATTTTAATCTGTACATTTATTATGCTTAGAATTAAAAACTCTTTGCGACTATATATGTATTGGCAAATTTTCAAATCACACAGTAAAATAAATTATTATTTTTATGTTTTTTTTTTTTGCTTTATTGTGAAATTGATCTATATATTCTATGCATGTCCTTACATATAGATAGATAGACAGATAGATACTTTATTTTACACTACAAAGAAATATGCAAAAGAAAAAATTAACAATATGATGAAAATGATGCACAACATAGACATCTGTAATAGTACTGTGAATAGACGAACAATACAGCATTTCAAATTTTATTTCTAAATACCTTATTTTATGAAGACATTTAACAAATGTAAAATTATTACAATAGTTAATGTAAAATTAGTACAATGGAGAGCTTATTTTTATCTAACATCTATTTGTAAGACTTTAAATAAAATAAAAAACCAGTAGCACGAAGATGACTTTGATAGAAATGGATTTATTTAAATGTGTAAATCATTTTTTTTTCATGTTGAAACATTAACACGCAGCAACATCTAGTACACAATTCTCATATAATACATATGAGAATTTACTTGTGTACCTACTATTAAAGTGCCTATAACACCTCGTAGGTGATCACTAAAATTAGTCTAACCAATACGCCTAGTACCTATTTACCACTTAAAAATTCTCAAAACTTGTCAAAGTTCTGTGGATCTCAATGCTTTAAATTATAATTTTACCACTCCACCCATCACTCTAGATTCGCATACCAAAACTCAAACTCTTTCATTTTTATTAAACCTCGCCCCCCCTGACATACCACCATTCGTCTTTGAAACAGTCTCAGTAGATGATATAAAGAAGTGTGTCCGCTCTATTTCCACAAAAGCCATTGGTAGTGACGACCTCAGCCGCGACATGATTCTTCCGGTACTGGAAGATATTGCACCTGTGATCACTCACATTCTAAACTTCTCATTCACACGCAATGTCTTCCCGTCTTTATGGAAAAAAGCTTTCGTCATACCCCTACCTAAATCCCCGAATCCTAAGTATCTCACTCAATACCGTCCTATATCAATTCTTCCTATCCTATCCAAAGTCATAGAATCATTGGCACACAATCAACTTTACTCCTATCTATCTCACAATAACCTCTTATGTCCCTATCAATCCGGTTTCCGCTCCTCCCATAGTACAGTTGGTGCACTGCTGAATATCACAGAGGATATTCGTGGTGCTATGGATAAAACCAAGCTCACTGTGATTGTTTTACTTGATTTTAGCAGCGCTTTCAGCTCTGTGGATCTCGACATCCTTATGGGAACTCTTCGTGCGGTCAACATTTCTAGTACTGTTATAGACTGGTTTCACTCTTATCTCTTCGGACGCCAGCAGTGCGTGAAGACCAACGATGCATCATCGGATTGGCTAGATCTTACTGCTGGTGTACCTCAAGGCGGCGTACTTTCTCCCTTACTTTTTTCAATATTTATTAATAACATATCAAAAGTCATTTCTTCTCCCTTCCATCTGTATGCAGATGACTTACAATTATATCGACATTGTGAGCTGACCGAGTTACATGAAGCTATTGATGCATTGAACTCGGATCTTGTCCGGGTCCAAACGTGGGCAGAGTCCTTTGGCCTCCTTGTGAATCCCTGCAAGTCACAATCCATAATTTTTGGCAGTAGTCGACTGAGTTGCAAAATCGATTGGACCTCGACACCTACAGTCCAGTTCTCGGGTGTTCCAATCCCGTACTGTAATAAAGTAAAAAACTTGGGCTTAATTATGGATTGTAACATGACTTGGGCGGCTCATGTCAACGAGGTCAGCAAACGAATGCATTATACTCTTCACTCTCTCAAGCGTCTCCAATTCTTCCTCCCTTTCACAACCAAGATTATGCTTGCTCAGTCCCTTCTTCTCCCCATACTCGACTACGCTGATGTGTGCTATTTAGATGTGACTGAGGAGCAACTCAACAAATTAGAGCGTCTTCAAAATCTCGCTATTCGTTTTATTTTTGGCTTGCGTAAGCATGACCATATATCAAACTTTCGTGCTCAACTTAAATGGCTCCCAATCCGCCTTCGCCGTGATATGCATATCCTTTCATTCCTCTTCAATATTCTTAATGATCCCAATTCTCCTTCATACCTTCGTTCTCGCTTCCAAATTCTCCCTACTCCTACTCGTTCCAGGCGGCCTTGCATTACTGCGATGCTTGACATACCCAAGAGCAACACTAAGTTCTCTCTACAATCTTTTTCGGTGTATGCCGCATTGCTCTGGAACAAACTTCCGAAAGACATCCAATTAAGCCCCTCTATAACTGCCTTTAAAAAGAAAATAAAACAGCACTTTCTCACCCAACTTATTCCACAATAATTATATTAACTACTATTATTATGCATTATATTATATAGATATGTATTTGTGTATGTAGTAGTATGTACATATATTTATGTATATAATATGTATAATGTTTTGTTATATGTATATATAATATATATTTATTTAAGTATTTACATTTGAGTTACTGCACTTTAGCCTGCATTTTAATACTATCTCTCTAACTCACTTAGGTTGACTGGAAGAGATCTCTTCTAGAGATAAGTCCACCTTTGCTAACTAATTTTATTGTTTGTTACTCTCTGTATTTTACATATAAGTGCAATAAAGAATAGTATATAAAAATAGTGTGAATATGAATCGAAGTGATTATCATTTTTATTTCACCATTTCAACAGCATTAACCAAATCAATAATTAACACCATTGATATAAAGAAGATATGTAGATACGCATTTCCTAACATATTTTGAAAAGTTTGGAAGAGGTCAAAAAGTGGCGTCGACGAAAAAAATTCAAAAATCGAAACATCTATTTGTCTAAACACATAAAATATTTTTATAAACAAAACAGCGCGCATTTTAATTTTGTCATCCGAAAAGCAATGAGCAGAAGAGATTTGAACAAAAATTTTTAAGGACACTTTTGAGACGCTAATTGTTTATCTTCAGTTTTTGTATATCAAATCAACACCCATAAATTACCAAATCATACAATTACCAAGTTCGTAACATCCTTGAGTTTCATTATGATAGTGCGGTAAATGGGATTCACACCCACACTTCCCTCCAGGTAGGAACAGCTGTCCCCTGTCGCAGGGCCCGCGCGTGTAGTGCGGGTAACACCCGCCATCCGCGGCCCAGTAGTGGGTGCTGTTTTGTGTGCACTGGAATAACAAAAAAGGTAAAAAATTAAGTAATCCTGAAGAGATAATTATTTGTTTGAATGCGGTAATTTTCGAAAATATTCGTTGAATTTTGTTTATTTTTCCATTTTATTAAGTAGGTTTATAAGATATCTAACATCATGGTACATGTATTAGGACCGAAGCTATTATATGTATGTAAACAAAGTGCGCGGGCAGAGTTACATGTAGAATCTAGTTAGAATACTAATATAATAATAAATGAAAAAGTTTGTATGTCTGTATGTATGATTGTTACTTCTTCAAGCTGAAACGGCTGGACGGATTGGATGAAATTTAGCACACAGATAAACAATGACTTGGAGTAATATATAGGGATAGGCTACTGTTTAGCCTAAGTTAAAGCCACACACCTGAACGTGCCAAGAGTAACTAGCTAGTAATAATGATGTGTCTGTTTCTTAGTGCATAACATTTGTATCCCGGCACATAATGTGGATCCCGAAAAATATTCCAACTTTATCATTATTATCAGGAACCTTATTTTAATTGAGTAAATACATCTAATTCTATATTATGTTACAAATAATAAAGTCTAAGAATGTTACAATTTAAACTCTATTTCAAATGAATTAACGAATTTTACACAAAACTTAACACTCGCACTACATTATATTATGTAAATAAAATAATATTTTCGGATTTTTTTGCGGATTTATTTTGATTTTTGGTTCCCGATGGTCACGAGAGAGACTAAAGGTTTTAGACGTCATTATATGACCATTGGGAACCAAAAATCAAAACAAAAACCGCGAAAAAATATGAAAACATAATTTTTATTTTGAAATGTTAAATATTCGCGTAAATCTAAGAAAGTATTACTCACAGTACAATTGGCAAGTCCATCGTCCCCGACACTCAATATCGAGCCCGGGTAGCACGGACCTTGGGTAAGCTTGAAGTAGCACTTCCCATCCGGCGGCCAGAATAGTAGCGTCTCGTCCGCGCATTGCTGCGGCCTCACGCACATGCCTTGGCGCTCGCTGGAATGTGAATTGTGGCTTCTAACGTCAACTATGATTGACTCCTAACTTATAGTGTTAGAGCCACACACTGTAGACTTTCTATCTAATTATTGACGCGTAACTAAATTAATACAAAACTTAATATTGATAACGAAGGCAAATAAGCTATCGACTGATTGAAAGTGTGCAATTTGCAGAGGCTCTTATATTAGGATATACTTTTCAATATCATATTATATTTAATAGTAAAAAAAATTCCTGAGTGCGTCAGACCTAAGAAGAACTTGCAACAGAAATTCGGCAGTCCATTATATAAATGTTTATGCATTAGGTAAATTTTTTTAACATTGAAATAACCTTAAATTGAATAGTTTTACATTTTCCTAAAGCGGGTCTCTACATCACACGAAGTCAGATCATAAATGATCCTAGCTGTAGTAGATTTTAAGATTTTGTGATAAATCAGTCAGTAAGTGACTGATATCTATACTAATATTATAATGAGGAAAGATTTGTTTGTTTGTACCGAATAGGCTCCAAAACTACTGAATCGATTTAGATGAAATTTAGTCAAAAGATATTTTGAGACCCTTGGGAAGGACATAGGATAGTTTTTATCCCGAAAATCATCCCTTAAGAGGGTGAAAATGGGGATGAAAGTTTGTATGGAAAAGCAACTTAGGGACGAACTCTAGCGAAGCGAGGATAAGCCGCTAGTTATTTATGTAAATTCTAGATATTCTTATTTATAAAAAACTACACAGAAGATGAGTTGAGAAATTTAATAAAGAAAAAATATATTAGACCTAACTAACTCAGCGACCTAAGCAAGCATACCCCCATTTATACCTGACCAGCCATATAATATATTGACCTAGATTACTATAAACATGTATGAGAGAAGTTTACACTCAAAAGATGTCTGACTTATTCTGAGTCATATTGATCGATGCATTTATATTTTAAACGAGATTCAACTTAACCCTATTTCTACTGGAAAAACCATTGACAGTTCGTGTGATGCAAAAGTTGTGATTGCAAATATTTGATTTTATCCTACGTGATAAAAATCACGCAATATAATATGAATATACATATATAACTCTTTATAATACCATATAATGTTAATTAGTCTCTTAATTCAAAGAAATATATGTATCAATAAGCACTATTTGAAATTTCTTAAAGTTGGTCAAATTTTTGTTTTTGACATTTTACGAGTATTTATAACAAAATAATAAATCTATTCATTTATTATAGATAAATAGTTAAAATTAGGGTTTTTATTCTAATTATACTGTCTTGTGTTGTAGCTGCAAGGTTTATAAAGCAGCTATTTCCTTCTTTACACATTATAATTTAATATTATTTAATGATCTTATTTTACCGACCAATCTCCTTCGTGCCCTCTCCATTCTACGTGATATTGGTGAAGTAATCTGTACTCAACTGGCACGCTTTGAAGCCATTAACAAGAAAATTGAATTGACAAGAATAATTCGATAAACACGTGCTACCTTATTTTACTGTCTATATTGTATTTGAATTCCCTACCAGGTTAAGAAAGATTAAACGTCTTTCAACAAGAAAGGACTCCTTAAAAGGCTTGTAGTCGCTTATACTGTTGAGTTTAAAATATTTTGCTTATGTATATTGCATGTTTATCGAGTAATCTTCTGCAAAGAATCGCGTAAAACTACAATAGAGTGTTATGTACAGGATTATATTAATAAAACTTTAATTCTTTATGTTTTAATATAACATTTTTACATATCTTTACTAAGTAGATATCTATTGTGGCGTCTAGATGCTTACCTACCCTCGCATGTTAAAAGATTCTTCAACGGGTGCGAAGTATTCTCCATTCCTACATGGGCCTCTCTCGAACAACTTGTAACAGGTTGTGGTGTGCGGCAGTTGGGCGGAGCCGGGTGGACACTTGCACTCTGCCACTGTGCGACCACCCAGCCTCCCAGGGCTTAGCTCTTGTGATTCTGGACATGGATAGCCTTTCTGAAATATTAAAAAAAAATAATGACTATTTATTAAATAAAAGTTCTATCAAATATACTGTATGATAAAATAGATGATTAAGTAGAATACAGATATATTTTTTGTAATTATTTAATGTTTAAAAATAATGTAGCATTGTGGGTTCTCCCTCTACTCTCTCCTCTCTCTCTCTCTCTAAAAACTATTCAGCCTCAAACTACAAAAATCTTTTAGGATATTTGGCATCACTCATGCTTTACAGGAAAAACATAATATATAGGTACATAAAAACCCTACTCATAACATAAGCATTCTCGTCAGAGTTAAGATCAACTTGTCTCTTAAAAGTAAAAAAAAATACGGGTAACTAATAAACGAATATAGGTTAGAAAAAAATAAAAAATCTATTGATGTTTTTTTTTAGTTTGTTACAGATTGTAACGGATGTTGACATCACTTTGAATATTTATCCTATATATTGAACTAAAAAATAAAAATAAGAAAGTTTCAACAATATTAGAGACACCTATTACAAAACGATATTAGCGTACATTACCTAGGTACTTGTCTAATTCAAGACTCGTAGATTTAAAGTAGAACAAGTAGTAGGTTAGTCTACTTACTAAGCATTGCACAATACAAGTTTTCTACGTATGAGGAACTGCATACTTTGCTTCAAAATTTTGTGTAATCATATAAAACCTTCGTGTCATAATGTTCCGGAAGCACGTCCAAGATATAGCTTTGAAGACGCTTAAAAAATTTCAAGCAATTCTACCCACTATCACGTTCGAATAAAGAAAGGAATGCCGTAAATAATTATTTTGACAACTGATTTAATCTGATATCAAGCGATGCACGCGGTGAATAAAATATTTTACGGTCACTGCCTCTACGTGACCCGAATTGGTAGGTAATTGAATTTACAGATAGACAAATTCCACGATATAACACCCGATGAGTGTATTGTTTTTGGGCAGTATCTGAATTTTAAATAATTTATTTTATACCTTTACTAGTTATTAGTGACGCTTTCTTATCACTACCTTAACTGTTATCTGATGACCACTTTATGTATGGGATAAAAATTGTTTAGTCATACTTCAGCCTATAAGCTCTCTATGTATATGCAAAAAAATCACGCTAACCCATTGCTCCCTTTGTGCGAGGAAGTAGTACAAACCAACAAACACATTACAATTTATTACACATTAAAATTTATAGGTAATAGAATATTTAACACCTCCAGCTACATTTCTAAGAAATTAATTAAATTTCTAAGAAATCTATTGTTAACTGACACACCGGCGTGACCGCGGTCGTGGAGGGATTAAAGTAAATTCAATATTACATTATGCTACACGGACGACTATAATATGCGTGCGAGCGTGTAAGTTTGTATGTATGTGTATGTTTATATTTGTTACTTCTTCTCATTAAAACGGCTGGCTAAAACGACTATGACCTAAACTCTAAAATCACACATTAGGTCGATATTGCTAGCGGGTCCCCCCCTAATGTGCATTCACCTCATCGTGGTGAGGGCGAGGAAACTCATTAGCGTCTGGCAATCCAACCGAGTGCGAAGCCAAGAAACGGTGTGTCTTGCGAGTTGCTCCTGGTACTTCTCTGATAGCAGAGTAGACTGTTGGAGCAACCCCATGATTCTTTTGGTCTGCTTCGGCAGATGTGCCAAAGCCCCATTAAGACGGTGGAGGTTCTGATAGGTTTTAGTGAGTAGGTAGTATCTAATGGCTTTCTAGCCAGTGAGTCCCACATAACCACCTGTATGTGGTATGCGTAAATGCATTACATACATTAATAAAAAGATATTATTAAAACCTAGGGACCAACCCGAGCGAAGCGAGGGCAAATTATTAGTTGTCAATATACAAGATGTACGTATGTTAACTTTCTAGCCATGGTATTTACATTTATCTATACACAAGGAACTATTCCTAATAAATTCGACTTTCTCAGTTATATTTCCCATTATAAATGGCATCGTATAAACAAGTCATAAAAGACACATCTCTCACATTACCTACAACAATGTTGGTTAAATTATTCCAGTATTTATGCAACACACTTCCTACTGCAGACACTCACCTTTATCAAGAGTCACGATCGAGGATGACTTACGTAATTCGACCCTTGAACCTGAATTTGATCTTCTACACATTATGTGATGGTGCCGGTAACATACAACACTTTTCTTTCTAAAGGTTCATAAAGGGATTGCATTATAAGCATTTAATAAATAAAATATATTACTATAATATTGGCTATTTATTTATACTCTCTAATCTCCGGCTCGGCTGGACCGACTTTAACGGGACTGGAGAAGTGATCTAAATAGGGAATTCAATATGAAAGAGGCTTCCAAAATTTTAATGAGACATTTACTGGTGAGTAGAGGACTCCGGTAGGAGCGATAATACAAAAAAAATAAAAGGCCCCGAAGCATTCAGTCGATAATAGAGATGTCAAATTAATTAAAAGTAATAGGTTTAAACTTTATCCATAAACTCTCTTAATCCCTCCACGAACGCGGACACGCCGGCGTGTCAGTTAACAATAGATTTCTTAGAAATTTAATTAATTTCTTAGATATTTACCTGGACGTGTTAAACATCTTCTAAATAACAGATGACGATTGGCTAGTGTCAATAACATAGTTATTTACAACAAACAGTAGCTCTACTCTTGCAAAGTTTTCACGCCATAAGATCATTTAATTCCATGTAAACACCATTTTTGCAACGCAAATTGCATGGTTCTTATAATTATTTATACTTACTACCGGTTATAACGACGCAGCGATGGGAAAGGAGGACGGCATTTGCAATAAATATCATAAACGTCTATTATAATAAACATTAAGTACTAAATAATGAACCTTATTTTATACTAGCATTGCCCGCGGCCCGCCCGCGTTCAGATGATCAAAAACTAAATTCTTAGGTTTTACATATTAGTATACTCTTACATTGCAGTTTTTGTATTTCTTCTCAGAAATGAGATATATACCCGCGGTAAAAAGTATCCTATATGTTGACCCGGATACCCAGCTATCAACATACCAAATTTCATCAAAATTCCTCCAGTGATTTTTCTGTAATGCGGTAACAGACAGACAGACAGAAAGACAGGCAGACAGAAATTCTAAAAACTATAGATTCGGCCTCTATATCGATAATAATGTTTATTTCAATGAGATTTTCCAAAAAATATTTTATGTACAGATTCGACTTAGTTACAATTTTATTATATGTATAGGATTATAGGTGTATTTAGACCTAAGGGAAATACCACTCCTGGGTGACAGCTAAGAAATGTATGAAGCGAAAATTACGTAACTGCGTAGTAAACGCGTAACCGTACATCATATTCACATATTTCATCTTAATTATATTATAAACATGGGTAAGTGCGTGCAGTCCGTAATGCAATGTGCATTACTTGCTTCAACAAATACACGATATGCTTTCACAGTTGAAACACCGCAACAAATATACGTTTATAATTACCTCTTATCTTCTCTTGTACTTTATGAAGAATGTGATTTGAATGTTTTAAATAAAACTATTTTTTCGGATTTTGTCGCGGATTTATTTGTATTTTTGTTTCCCGACGTTTCGAATGCTTTACAGCAATCATGGTCACGGGAGAGACTGAGGTGTTAGATGTCTCTAAGGTATTATATAGTTGTTACAGACAGCCTACCCATAATTAACAAAATGAATTCAAAAAATTGAAAAATGGCACTAAAGTACCTTACAATATTTTAACTTTTAACTTTAAACATTTTTATATAATTTTAATTAAAACAAAAATACAAATAAATCCGCGACAAAATCCGAAAAGATAGTTTTATTTAAAATGTCAAATATTCGCGTAAATCTAAGAAAGTATTATGATTTGAATGGTAATTGTGGACTTATACGGAATATTTCAAGTGAGCGTAGATGACGAAATCCGAAATTTTAGGGGGAAATGAGGCCAATTTTACATTACATAATTATATGTAATAAATAGTGTATCAATATCCGTAATCTATAACTTAGCTAATAAAATCGTAAATACAAAAAAAAATAAGGATCAACTTACATTCGAAAACAGCAATTAAAGCGTATCGGACATTTTGAAATGAACTAAGTGCAGTGGGTCAGCGTATTACCATCAATCGGTCACGGTCTTCATGCACTACGCAATTCGCAAACCGGCAATAACTTGTTATACACATATCTATTTTTACTTATGTAATAATTCTAAATACATCTTCTTTTATTGCTTAAAAAAAGAAACTCAATGAGCGTGAACATGTCGTGTCGCAGTTATTCCAAATCTGGATTGATTAATATGTTTATGATTAATTATTACTTGCATTGTAAAAGTAATTATCATAAAACATTTAAACGTAGTGCTATAAAAACTAAATGCGTTGCCGTTCATTAGTTTTCATTGATGCGTAAAACTATAAAGGAAAAAGACAATTTTATGACTCACCTTGTATATTGTGTAGCATTTTCCATCCGAAGGCCAGTACAGCATCAGCCATCCTCGTGGATGAGCAGCACAAGGGTTCTTTCGTACATCAGCCCAAGGCGGTGGAAGAACTGCCGCCTGACTTCCGCAAATTAATGCCGCCAACAAAACCCACGTAGCCATTTTTAAAATATCTTAGTTTGTTTTTAAAAAAATAATCACATTGCATAATCTATTCAGTCAGTTCTACTCTATTTCACAATTAAAACAGTTCCCACGCACTATTTTATATATAGTTATAGATAGTTATATATCGATTTTATATCACATATTATAAGTTATTTATTTCATTTTGCACATCACCATTTCCGTTATTCACTTTCATATAACTCTTAGATCACAAATTGTTCCGCCTCGAATGCTTCCTCGATCTACTCTGATAATTTCATCGACAGGTAAACTCTAAAGATCATCTAAAAAAAAAGATAAGATTACTCAACGCTGTTGATAAAAGAAAAAAAATTTTTTTCTATATTTTTTTGCATTGGATAAACCAAATTAGTGCAACAAGGTACCGGTGTAGTTTACCGTTTGATATACCACTTCAAGTCGAGTGTCGAAATGGATTTCATCTAGTCAATCACCCGTGGTTTTCACTAGAATTACACGCAAGCGTTTACAAATCTACTTTCAAACAATATTCAAACAAATAAAAAATCTATAGGTACTAATATTATAAATGTGAAAGTGTGTTTGTTTGTCTTTCTTTCACGTCGAAACGGAGTGACGGATTGGCGTGATTTTTTGTGTGGGGATAGTTGAAGAGCTGGAGAGTGACATAGGTTACTTTTTATCGCCGGAGATTACCTCACTCCCACGGGAAAACAAAAAAAAATATTTATTATCAGAATCAATTGAAACTTGGTATTAATGCTCTTCAATACAATTAAAGAAATACGAGTTTAAGAATTTTGCAAAATTCATCCCATAAGGGGGTAAAATAGGGGATAATAGTTTGTATGATACCTAACTTTTTATTTTAATATTTTTTTACAAAGAAATAATAATAAAATAAAAAGGTATATTTCTCATTTCTTAAAGAAATAATATTTCGTTAAAAAATGAGGAATAAGATGAATACTATTCTAAATGGGTGATTTTGTAATCTCTAACTTTCTAAAGCAAATAAAGGCATTTAAATTCTTTTCTTTTGATAGAGATAATTTACTGACACTTCGGCAATTAATTTCATTAAAAAAATATAATATATAAAAAATAACATTTTTAACTTCTTCTTCTTCCGGCCTTTTCCCATCTTTATTTGGGGTCGGCTCTCCTAATCATTCTTCTCCAGACATGTCTTTCCTGGGTCGTCCTTGGGTCAACATTGTTGTTTTCCATGTCTTTCCTAACTACAGACATCCACGTAAGTCGGGGTCTTCCGCGCTGTTTGGGTCCTGACTTGTGATCGAGCACTTTTCTGGTCATGTGATCTACCGGCCTTCTCATGACATGGCCGTACCATCGTAGTCTTGCTTCTGCTAACTTATCCTGTATCGGTCGAACCTTCAAAGTTCCTCTGATGTAAAGGTTTGACACTTTGTCCAAAAGAGTGACTCCGGCCGACCACCTGAGCATTCTCATTTCGGCGACGTGTAGTTTGTCGGCTTGTTGTTTCTTGAGCGGCCAGCATTCCGCTCCGTATGTCATTGCGGATCTTATTGCGGTTTTGTATACTTTGCCTTTGACGCGTATTGGCATTCTTGGATCACAAAGCACTCCTGTTAGCTCTCTCCACTTAAGCCACCCAGCGTTTCTACGGTGCGCGACGTCTGCGTCGATACTGCCGTCGTTTGTCAACACACTGCCTAGGTACTTAAAGCTCTCTACAGTTTTGAGCGCCGTATTCTGCAGGTACATGATATGTTTGGTGTTGCTATCTGAAAATTTACAGTGCATGTACTCGGTCTTCTCTCTACTGATCTTTAGCCCGGCTCTTTCTAAGGTTGATCTCCATTTTTCCAGCGTTTTCTGGAGGGCTATTGGGTCTTTGTCAATGAGGACTACATCGTCCGCATAAAGTATACTCCATGGTATGGGTTGCTGTATCTCAGATGTAAGGTAGTCCATGACAAGGTTGAACAATAGCGGGCTTAGAGCTGATCCCTGGTGGACGCCCACCTCCACACCGAATTCCTTGCTGATTCCTGCTGGACACCGTACCTTTGCCGAGACGCTGTCATACATGTCAGCCACCATTTGCACATAACATTCGGGTACCATCTTTGCTCGTAATGCCTGCCAAATCAGTGGTCTGGGGATGCAATCAAAAGCTTTTTCTAGATCTATAAAAACCATGTGGAGGTCTTTCTTATCGTCCCTGTGGGATTCCATTAGGATGCGAATAGTGTGGATCGCATCCGTGGTTGACTTTCCTGTGACGAACCCACACTGGTTTTCTGTGACGCTCGTTATCTGGCGTAGCCTCCGGTTCATCACTCGTTCCCATATTTTGAGGCTATGTGGCAGCAGTTTTATGGCTCTATAGTTCCCGCAGAGTCGAATATCGCCTTTATTTTTATAGAATGGAACCAGAAAGCTTTTTTTCCATGACTGAGGGATGCCATCAGATGGTAGTTTGTTGAACAGCGTGGTTAAAAAGTACACTCCATCGTCTCCCAGTTTCTTCCACAGCTCCGCTGGCAGATCATCAGGACCAGTTGCCTTATTATTAGCCATTTGGCTTTTTGGCTTAAAGCTAATTTGACTTCTTCCGGCGTAATGACAGGCCATGGACCTTTCACTGTTGGAAGCTCCATTATTGGTTCACAGGGGTGTGTCTCGTTCAACAATTTAGCGTAGTATTCCCTCCATCTATCATTTATATCCGAGTCTGATGTTAAGAGGTTTCCTTGCAGGTCTTTGATGTACTTAACTGCTCGAGTGTCTTGTGTATCTCGATGTCTTTGTTTGGCAATTTTAAACAGCTGTTTATCATTGTTAGCATTTTCTAGCTTAGCATAAAAACCTTCCCTGCTTAAAAAAAAAAAAAAAAAAAAAAAAAAATAACATTTTTAACATAAGAAAAAAAACAAAATTAAATAATGTGAGCTAGAAACACGGTCTCAATTCTCTCAGGTCAACTAAATTATGAGAACAACTAGCACGTTACCACGTTACCGCAATAATGTAAGCAAGCCTGTTCTATACTCCGCTTAGCTGAAGAAATCTTACCTAAATGGCATCAATATTTTATATTAGGTATACGTTTTTAAATGAACTAAATCATAATACAAGAAAAATAAACATTTATCTATTTTTTTTACACTATGAAGTAATATTCTTAAGGCGTAAAAATAGTTAACTAACTAAACTCTTGAGCAATTAAATAATAAATGGAGCTTCATTGCTACTTATTGCATAATACAATTGAAATAATCATAATAAATAATAGAATATCAATCATTCAAGTAAAATGTATTTCTGATTGTGGGCGACATATTGATTTCAATTAAACTTAAATTGTTAATAACTTTATTTAATTTGTATTACACTCACTAATCTTGGTATTCGCAATATTTCTTAATAAAACACACTTCAAATGTATTTGTTCAATATGTAAATGATAACTCTTCAATAATTCTACCTAAATGTTCAATAATTTTATTTTTATTATATTAACAGATATGCGGATTTTGTTCGCAATTTCATGGGCTTCAATGATTTCAATTGCGCGGAACTTTTTTCTCAAATAAAGTAGCCTGAGTTATTCCTTACAATATCAGCTATCTGCCAGAGAAAGTCCCGTCTAAATCGGTCCAGCCGTTTCGGAGATTAGCCGGAACAAACAGACAGAGAGACAAAAAAACTTAAAATTGTTTTTTTTTTATTATAAGTAGGTACCGTTATTTTGATATTATATATTTAGTAAAAAGCTGTTATTTTAAATAAAACTATCTTTTCGGATTTTGTCGCGGATTTATTTGGATTTTTGTTTCCCGACGTTTCGAATGCTTTACAGCATCCATGGTCACGGGAGAGACTGAGGTGTTACATGTCTTGAATGTATAGTTGTTACAGACAGCCTACCCACAATTAACAAAATGAAAATTGCACCAATTACATTACAATATTTTTTAACTTTAAACATTTTTATAATTTTAATTATAATTGAATATGGAAAATTATTTATTTAATTTTGCTATTATTTTTATAATTATTACAATTTTAAAATATTAATTAGTAATCTATATTTAGTGTTGCCATTATTATATTTATAACCATAAAGAAAAATATAAAATGTAGTATTAATTATTAAAGCCATATAATTGTTCTATGTGTAATTTAAAAAGTTAAAATTAATTAAGGATAATAATTTTAATTTAGTTTGCTATTATTTAAAAACAACTTACTAAGCAACACTATTAATATATACTTTTACAAATGAAAAATGAAAAATATTAGTCTGATAAGCTGTCATTTAGATCTACACAGTATGAACTTACTACATCTGCCTGTCTGTTATGTTTATATTTATTATTTGATTTTATTATATTAATAACAGGATCCCATGACGATGGTAGTACCCAGCCATCTTCCCTATTGAAATTAGGATGTTTTTTAATTTCTATGGCTTCTCGAATCATTCTAGGGCGATATCGGTTTTCTTTCGCCAGGATTTGAGGTCTATCGAAGCGAATATAATGGCTTGGGCGGTCCTGACTATGTTTGCAGACAGCAGATGTTGTATTGCGACGGTGCTTCACATCAGCTATGTGTTCTTTGACCCGGGTTCTAATGGATCTCTTTGTTTGTCCGATGTAAGAGAGCCCACAATCACAATCAAGCTTGTAAACTCCTGCATCTTGTAGAGGGATGTGGCACTTGACAGGTGGTAGAAACTGACTAATTTTCTTTGGCGGCTTGAAGTAAGTTTTAATTGAAGCTCGCTTTAGAATGTAGCCAATCTTGTCAGTGACGCCTCTCATGTAAGGTAGGACTGCAGGGACGCGCTCGACTGTGGCTGGTTTCACTCGGTCCCTGTGACGTAGGCGCGGCACTTGCAGCTTGTTGTCTCGCAGAACTTGCTTGACATGTTGCAGCTCTCCGGCCAGGTGTTGCTCGTCACAGATCCCGCGTGCCCTCTGAAACAAAGATTTTCCCACGGTAGCTAACTGTGAAGGGTGGTGGTGAGATTCACCATTCAAGTACCTATCAGTATGGGTCTTCTTTCGATACACAGTATGACTTAAGGTGTTATCTGGGTTACGTATAACTAATACATCTAAGAAAGCTAAAGAATTATTAGACTCCAATTCCATTGTAAATTGTATTTTAGGGTTTATGGAGTTAAGATGTTCTAAGAATACAGATATTTTATCAGATGGTAATATTGTGAAAGTGTCATCTACATACCGCTTGTAGAAACGAGGGGTCACAGGTGATGTGTTTAGTGCGGTCTCCTCGAAGGCCTCCATGAAGATGTCAGCTACAACGGGAGAGACCGGCGAACCCATGGCCACTCCATCCACTTGCTTGTAGAATTCATCATTCCACAATAGATAGCCAGATGTAAGGCAGTGTTTCAAAAGTTCAGTGTATTCTTCTTGCATACTATTATCCCGTAGCTTTCTTGATACTATTTTGACACAGTCCTCTACTGGTAGGCTGGTGAATAGAGACTGTACATCAAAACTGACCATAGTTTCATTGTCCATGAGTTGTAGGTGTTTTATCTCATTGACAAAATGGTACGAGTCCCTTGTGAACGCTGATGTTTGTCCTCTGAGTGTTGAGAGTACTTTCGCTACTAGTTGGGCCAATTTATAAGTCGGTGTGTCGATTTGACTCACAATTGGACGTAGCGGAGCGTTAGGTTTGTGTATCTTTGGAAGTCCATACAGTTTAGGCGGCTTTGCACAAGATGGAACAAGATTTTTGACATCAAGATTCAATGCATCGGAGTGTTTCTTAATCAGCTTTTTAGTATTATTTAACACAGTGGTGGTTGGGTCTGTTTTGACCTTTTTATATGTACTTTCATCCGACAAAAGTTGTTTAATTTTCTCATTGTAATCTGATGTATCCATCACGACGGTGGCATTTCCCTTGTCTGCGCGTAGTATGATAATGTCTGACCTGCTGCGTAAGTTCTTCAACGCTAAATACTGTTGTTTGTTGAGATTAGGTTTGGGCCTTGAACTACGACGTAACAAAGATGAAACATCTTGACGTATGGCCTCCATATCCTCAGATTTCATAGTATTTTTGGCCAGGGCATCTTCAACCGCACAAATAATGTTCTCATAAGGGATGCGTGTCGGCGCAACAGCAAAATTTAAGCCTTTACTTAGTACTTGAATAGTAGATTCGTCCAATGTTTGTTTTGACAGATTGACAACTGCTTGACGTACGCACGAATTTGAAACTGTGGTAGACGGGCGCGTTCCGTTATTGTTTTTGGTTTTCTTTTTGATGTTATATTTCTCGACTAATTTTTGGTATTTTAATATATGTTTGTTTTTGCATTGGTTAAATTTAGATGTTTCGCGCTTATTTAAAGTTTCAATGCAATCATTGAAATCACTTGGTGTCAATACTGTCTTTATATTAAGGGACGTTTGTTCTACGTACCGGTCGTTACTGCGTAGATCACGGCGGGTTTGACGAATCACCGTCCGTAACAACTTAAAACTTGCCTTGTTAACGATCTTGGCGCTTCCCCGTATGTTCTTTTTAGATGATATTTTCACACACGTAGGAATGAGACGATGATCCCGACATCTCTTCAAGAATGTTAAAGATGTTAATAATCTTGCGCGCTTTGTCTTCAGATCTTCTAACCGGCGTATTTGGTTTGCGATTTCCAGTCCGTACTGGTTCACATAATACTTTCTTAGATTTACGCGAATATTTGACATTTTAAATAAAACTATCTTTTCGGATTTTGTCGCGGATTTATTTGGATTTTTGTTTCCCGACGTTTCGAATGCTTTACAGCATCCATGGTCACGGGAGAGACTGAGGTGTTACATGTCTTGAATGTATAGTTGTTACAGACAGCCTACCCACAATTAACAAAATGAAAATTGCACCAATTACATTACAATATTTTTTAACTTTAAACATTTTTATAATTTTAATTATAATTGAATATGGAAAATTATTTATTTAATTTTGCTATTATTTTTATAATTATTACAATTTTAAAATATTAATTAGTAATCTATATTTAGTGTTGCCATTATTATATTTATAACCATAAAGAAAAATATATAAATAATAGTATCAAGAAAGCTACGGGATAATAGTATGCAAGAAGAATACACTGAACTTTTGAAACACTGCCTTACATCTGGCTATCTATTGTGGAATGATGAATTCTACAAGCAAGTGGATGGAGTGGCCATGGGTTCGCCGGTCTCTCCCGTTGTAGCTGACATCTTCATGGAGGCCTTCGAGGAGACCGCACTAAACACATCACCTGTGACCCCTCGTTTCTACAAGCGGTATGTAGATGACACTTTCACAATATTACCATCTGATAAAATATCTGTATTCTTAGAACATCTTAACTCCATAAACCCTAAAATACAATTTACAATGGAATTGGAGTCTAATAATTCTTTAGCTTTCTTAGATGTATTAGTTATACGTAACCCAGATAACACCTTAAGTCATACTGTGTATCGAAAGAAGACCCATACTGATAGGTACTTGAATGGTGAATCTCACCACCACCCTTCACAGTTAGCTACCGTGGGAAAATCTTTGTTTCAGAGGGCACGCGGGATCTGTGACGAGCAACACCTGGCCGGAGAGCTGCAACATGTCAAGCAAGTTCTGCGAGACAACAAGCTGCAAGTGCCGCGCCTACGTCACAGGGACCGAGTGAAACCAGCCACAGTCGAGCGCGTCCCTGCAGTCCTACCTTACATGAGAGGCGTCACTGACAAGATTGGCTACATTCTAAAGCGAGCTTCAATTAAAACTTACTTCAAGCCGCCAAAGAAAATTAGTCAGTTTCTACCACCTGTCAAGTGCCACATCCCTCTACAAGATGCAGGAGTTTACAAGCTTGATTGTGATTGTGGGCTCTCTTACATCGGACAAACAAAGAGATCCATTAGAACCCGGGTCAAAGAACACATAGCTGATGTGAAGCACCGTCGCAATACAACATCTGCTGTCTGCAAACATAGTCAGGACCGCCCAAGCCATTATATTCGCTTCGATAGACCTCAAA